GAAATATTCATTGATGTGTCCTCAACCTTTCCATTTAGGTCCAGCCTCTCCATCAAGAATGCTTAAGATAGTAAATTTTTTTCAGTCTTCATCAGAAAATATATTTATTATCGATAGTGAGTGAAGTAAAGAGGTCCGTATTTATGATAGAGAAGCGGTTGTATAAGCCACGGTTGTCTTTATGTTGATTAAAAAATGCCTTATTTCATAAACATCATTCCAGTAAAAGGTATATTTTCTCTCTTTTTTTGTCTTCTTTTTTTTAAAAATAAGTTTTATTGATTTTTTACAGAGAGGAAGGGAGAGAGATAGAGTTAGAAACATCGACAGAGAGTTAGAACATCGATCAGCTGCCTCCTGCACATCTCCTACTGGGGATGTGCCCGCAACCCAGGTACATGCCCTTGACCGGAATCGAACCTGGGATCTTTCAGTCCGTAGGCCGACGCTCTATCCACTGAGCCAAACCGGTTTCGGCGTCTTCTTACTTTTATGATCACGTAGTGAATTAAAATGAAATAGCTCTTCTGTAGTCAAGGGAGAAAAGAAAACAAGAGAAAACCAACATGTCACAGTCTAGACAATTCTGCCTGGCCCTGCTGGCCTGAGATGGAAGTATTTTGCCCTCTGCCCTCCCCACTCCAATTCCCTTATCTCCAATCCCAACCCCAAGCTGTGCTGGAGTGTAGGGACACCAAGTGATGAAGCTTAGTTAGAAAGAGAAAGTTGAATAGGAAGTACATACGTGGTAAGTGATAGATGGTAACAATAAAAATTGTTTAGTTAGGCAGCAAAATATCAGACATACGTCGTAGCAATATCTTTACCGATACAGCTCCTAGGGCAATGGAAACTAAGGAGAAAATAAACAAATGAGACTACATCAAAATAAAAACTTCTGCACAGCAAAAGAAACCATCAACAAAACAAGGAAGCCCATTGCATGGGAGAACATACTTGCCAATGTTATCGCCAATAAGGGTTTAATTTTCAAAATTTATAGAGAACTCATACACTTTAAAAAAAAGAAGATACATAATTCCATCAAAAAATAGGCAAAGGACCTCAAGCAACAATTCGCAAAAGCAGACATACAGAAGCCCA